AAAAAAAAAAAAAAAAAATTGGATCCAAGTAAAAATATATTCTAATATTGTGATTACATTGTCTTCCCCAAAACAGCCACCTTCGAAAATGTGTATGACAATTAAAGACAGAATAAATCCCTTCTGAAAGTCATGAAAAGCTATTCACACACACACACACACACACACACACACACAAAAAACAAAAGTCAAATTATAAAATATTTCTTAAAGCAGATTTCCAGACTTTCAAGAATATTTTGCTATCTCAAAACTTGTCAAACCCAATGCTGCATTTTCTTATTTCACCCTTGCTCTCAGAAACTTATTTTCATTGCTGATACGCAAAAACCAAAGTGAGGCGATTCCAGAAGTTGAAACTTATTTACAAGGAATGCAGTAAAGTGATTCAAAATTCAAAGTAATTCTACAAGTACATTAACAATCTGCACAAGAATAAAATTTCACATTATACAAATCCAACACAGTAAATAAAATTTCACCTATTTATCAAAAACAATAAGGGCTACCATTTAGGTCTCGAGTAAAAGAATATAAAGCAAGGAAAAATCTAAATTAATCTTAAATTGTTGTAAAGCCTCAAGGAACAAAAAAAGACCTTGTGGAACTAAAACATTCCAAATATCTCTGATCACTCAAACTATTCTGAAGCAAATTCTGCTACAATCTAATTTTTAAGCCTAAGAGTCAATGCAACTTAAAATCCTTAGTTTTAATTTGTATGTATCTGAACAAGTTGAAAATATCTGCCAAATCTCCTTCTAATACCTAAGAAAGTGAAAGCAGAATGCATCATTTTCTACAAAAATTCTAGTTAAAATTTTTTCATTCTTCACTAGATGCCAACAAAAAAGGGAAACTGAAGTTACTCTACGAGGGGAAATGATCACTTCACCTGAACTAGTTTGTGTAAGTAGTAGCTGGGATGCTTCAGACTCAGAGAAGTTGGGGTGGGGGTGTGTGGCGGGGGACGGGACGGGGCATGTAAAGTCAAATAACTGACAGGCTATTGAAGGCAAGAGAATTCCTTAAAAACCAGCTGATTCCTCTTGATGGGGAACTTCTGTTGTAAATAAAAATTATTTAGAAATGGATTGGTGAAAATGTGTTTTCAAAAAGAAAACTCAGGTGCCTGAAAAATCGTCTTATCCCACCTTCCAAAGCCCAAGATGTCTAAGGAGGACGCCGGTCACTGGCCCTGCCAAGCCGGCGGCCTAGGCCTAAGGGAGGCACAGTAGTGCCTGCAACACGGATGGACTTGGGGCACAGGGGAAATGGACTTGCGTGCCCTTGGTAAGCTCTGGCGGCACTCCCGAAGTTAAGGACACCGGCCACAATGGAATGGAGTCTATTGACATTTGCTTCTCCGTTTGAACACTAAGCATTTTCTTAGTTCGTGAAATACGAACTGACAATCACCACCCCCCAAAACACACCCTCAACAGGCCCTCCTGCACGAACACACCCTCCAGAGTCAAACCCAGTTAGCCGGGACAACACTGATCCCTCGCCCGGTCTCTACCACAACCCCGGGTTAGGTGGGAAAAAGACACTAGTAAACATTTCTGCCTTCAGAAACCCCACCACGTTCCCTGCTGCAATCTCTCTCTCCTAGCATTTCCGAAATTGGGGCGGGGATTGGGAAAAGTGCGCAGGGTGCCAGCTCCCTGCCACCAGAACCGCCACCCCGTATCTCCTGGGTCCAGCCTGGATCCAGCCCTCGCCCACCACTGTTCACAGGCGCCTTCTCCACCGCGGCCTCGGAACAGCAATGCGGATCGGCCGCCACCCGCGCGCCGGAGAGGCCAGGCGGGGGAAGAAGGGAGGCCGGGCACTCCCCACCCCTTCCCTTCCCCAGGAGGGGGAAGGCGGAACGCTGCGGGAGGCTGCACGGAGCCCCAAGATTCCACGGGAGTTCGGGAGCCCCCGCCGCAGCCTCGGAATCAAACGGGAAGGGGTGCGGGGGCCAAGGCCCACCTGTCTCCACCCCGTCTTCCGATCTTTCCCAGGACTGGGAGGGGGCGGGGAGAGGAGCCCCGACAGACCCTGATGATTCCGGAGGACCCCAGTGCCTACCCCTTAAACGGGCACAGGGGACGCGGCCCTAACTTCTCCCCTTCTGTCCGGATGATGTCCCCCACGGTGGGGGACGACATGTTCCGGAAAACGACACTAAAGCCTCCAGACCCCTCCAACGTTCACATCTAAACTGGGGGTGGGACGCTGCCCAAGCATACCCCTGCTGCGGGCGGAGGGGGCGTGCAGAAAGGGGAGCCAGGGGTGACCACAGTCGCGACCCGAGAACTCCTCCCAACACGCGTGGGGAGGGGAGGCCGCTCGCTCCCTCCATCTTGACCGCTGGGGGAGGGGGCGGGGATGCTGCGGGAGGCTGGACAGGCCTGACAATCCCAGAAGACCCCCGCGGCGCCCCCCAGCCGAGCCTCGGGACTCAGGCCCGGGCGAGTCCCCCACAAGCCGCCAGCCCCCAGCCCACCTCGGGCAGCCCTGCCGGTCATGGGGCGGGGACCGCAGCGCGAGCCGCGGGGGAAGGGACGCCGGGCCCAGAGCGGAGGGGGCTGGGGTGCCGACACCCACCTGCCCAGGCCGGGCCTCCCGCTGCTGGCGGTCGCCGCGGCCGCCGAGGAAGAGGGAGCCGTGGCCGAGGACGAGGACGAGGAGACAGAGGACGAGGACGGCGAAGGCGCGACGGCGGGCGACGCGAGAAGGCCGCTGCCGCCGGGCTTGCGGACATTGGCGGCCGCAGGCGGCTGCGGCTGCTGCTGCTGCTGCTGTTGCTGCTGCTGTTGCTGCTGCTGCTGGGGCTTCAGCGACATGGTGAGGGGCCCATACACCGGCTCGCACGCCGGGCGGGGACAGCTGGGAGCCGGGCGCGCCGAGGAGTCGCCGGAGCGCGGCGGGGACGCGAGAGCGCCGAGCGGGGAGGCGCGGGTTGGCGCGGCCGGGGAGCCGCCCGGGCTGACGAGGGGGAAAAGGAGGACGAAGAAGGGGCGGGGAGGCCCGCCGAGACCGAGGAACCGCCGGAAGCCGGACCGGGATGCGCCGCCACCGTTGCCGTTGCTACCAAAACAGTCTGAGGCAGAGGGAGGCGAGCGCTGCTGGGAGGGAGGGGGGCCAGGGCCGGGCGGGGGAGGGGCGGCGGAGGGATACGGGCCCGGTACCGCGCCACCGCCGCCCCGCCCGCTTCGCCGTGCCGGCCGCGGGAGCGAGCGCCGCCCTGGCCACCTAGCTACGGCGAAGCGGCGAGGCTCGGTGGCCGCCGCGGGACTCTGAGGAGCTGCGGCCGCTGAGCGCATCGGAGGCCGGGTGCGCCGAGGCCCCGGGTGGACGCTGAGGTACGGATTGGGACTCTTTACCGGAAGTCGGAGGAGTCGGGCGGAAGTAGATCGTGAGGCGGCACGGGACCGGGAGGGACACGTGAAGAGCGGGCGCAGCGCTGGGCCGTGTTCGCGGGGGTAGGGTGAGGGCCAGGCGGCAGGCCCTTCCCGGATCCGCCCTCTCGAGGCGGGTCTGCCCTTCGGGGAGGGCGTGTCGGTCTTAGCCTCTGCGGCCTGCCTGGTGTGGAGAACGGCAGGGAGGCATTTCTTCTCCCACTATATTCCTTCAGCGTCCTCACACTCCTGCAGGGACCTTGTTTGCCCCCACCTGATGCAACCCAGAAAATGGACTGCGAGTTCCTTGGGGCGGAGAATGTGTCTTGCTACGTGTAAAGCACCTACAACCCTGCCAGACTCAGGGGACACAGCATCCCGCCGTTTTCCTGCCGTCCCCGGCCGGGCGCACACTAGGCTCTCCAGTGCCTCTGGGCACCTCCCAGGCAGGCCGCGCTGCCCTGCCCTGCTGAGGCTGGAGTGGAGAAACCCTCCGGGGCCACCCACATCTGGGTACCTTTTCCCCACTTTTTCCACCCCAGCCGCGAAAACTCTTTTAGGTATCTGACCTTCATTTGAACCTACGTTCCCTCATTTGAACTTCTTTTTCCTCATTCACGAGATTCTAAAGGAAATATGCGGGACTGAGACTGGTAGAGCTAAGGATAAGCAGACCTCACAAGAACGTGCGAACTTTAGACCTTGTACCCTTTAGAAGTTTTAATTTAACTTAGCCAGCCAGCACAGTAGACCCTTTTTAAAATGTGTTGCATGTAAACTGGAAGCAAGTAGATAACTTTTGTTATTACCTTGAGTAGTGAATCTAGTGTTTTTTAGTGAAATGACTTCAGGAAGTAATAGAGGAAGAAACACCAAAATTCCCCTTCAGTGTCCTAGAATTGTCCAGATAAAGACCTAGAAAAACATGGAGAATGATTAAACCAGCAGTTTTCAGTAGCCCAAATGAAATTAAACTCCTAGATAGTTCAGGCAAAAACGATCATTGTATTCTGCCAGTGTAGGAAATCCGTTTTATTTCCCAGCTAAAGAGAGATTGTTGCAAAACCCTTTAAAAATTAACCCAGCCTGGCCAACATGGTGAAAACCCATCTCTACTAAAAATACAAAAATTAGCTGGGGGTAGCGGGTGCCTGTAATCCCAGCTACTTCAGAGGCTGAAGCAGGACAATCGATTGAACCCGGGAGGTGGAGGTTACAGTGAGATCTTGCCACTGCATTCCAGCCTGGGCGACAGAGTGAGACTCCGTCTCAAAAAAATAAATAAATAAAAATTGACCTAAGAAAATTGGTACTAAAAAACCAGTTGAGGAA